CTCAACCTGTGGGTCGGGACCCCATTTGGGGTCGAATGACCATTTCACGGGGGTCACCAAACCATGCTGTCCGCCATTTTTTTCCCTTTTCCCTAGCTGTCCTACTCCCTCTTATTGGTGGCCACACCCACTTGGGGGTCACCACAACATGGGGAACTGTATTATGGGGTCACGGCATTAGAAAGGTTGAGAATCACTGATCTAGATATACATCTGTACCTATAAATGTTTAAATTCATCTTTCAAATTATTTTCTCTTTTCCCTGTTAAGCATGAAAATCCAGATGACATTTAGATTTTCAAGATTTACTGAAAAGCTAGCTGTTGAACCTTTATCTAGGTCTAGGAATATCTTCACAACATAGTCTTTTTTGTATTCAAATATGATAGTACTACTACCACCATCACCACCAAGCTGTAATATTGCCTCTACAGCTTCATTACACAATGGCAAGCACTGCACTAAAATGTAAACAAATTAGTCATGATTTCATAAGTATAATGAATTGAATTAAGCTATAGTTTTCTGGATTCATATGATACTATTCCAGGAATTCTCAAACTGTGGAAGATGATCCTCTTCGGGGGGATTATTATTTCTAGGTTTCCAGATGGGTCAGAAGGGAAGAGACAGAGATTGCAGATTCTGCAGAGCTCTGATCCAAAAGAAGGCAAGAGACAATAGCATGTGCACATGCCCAATATAAAAGAAATGAGGAGAAAAGAATGAAGAGCACTCCAAGAAGCACTTCTTTAGAGCTGAGAAGATAGCAAGGAACTAAAGTCTCCACTTTTTGTAACTGCTGCCAAAAATGGCACATTTGCTCATCATCGTCAGCAGTTTTCAGTGGCATGAAGTCCTAGAGTGCAGAAGCAACAGACAGAATCTGTTTAGGGCCCAAACATGCTCAGTCTCCATGTCACCAGAGAGTCTGATGTCCCATGAGCCAAGAGAAGGCCTTTTTTCCCCTGCTGCCTTGGTACTTCAACCTCCTCCAGTTTCACCATCTCTGATGCTAAAGAGTAAGGTGAACAGCCAGATCTAAATAATAATAGAAAGGAGGCCATCTAGATATTGGGGGAATCCTCATTCCAGTGGGCAGGTGCTGCTACAGAGACGTTGTACTTTTGGAATTCCGATAGATGACATTTAATAAAAAAAAACTAAGTGCAGCTATCCTGCAGGATCAAATCAGCCTGGCAGGTGCTAGGAGAGACAAGTGGTCCCTCAAGGCTGTATGATATGCAGTGTTCTATAGGTAACAATCATCACCTTGAATCACACATGGGAGCAAACTGATAACCAATGCAGCTTGTGAAACAAAGTTGTTACATAGGTATATTAGTAGTAGTAGTAGTATCTATTATTCCTTCTATGGCCACATTGTGGATGAGTTAAGCTTCTGGGTGGTCAAAGGACAGCCGCACATAGAGTGTGTTGCAGTAGTCAAGTGATAAAGTGACAAGGTCATGAGTGACTGTCTGAAGGACCAATCTATGCATCAATATTGAAAGGAGAATATGGAATATCCTCAGATCAAGTAGCCCAAAACACCCACAGCCACTCAGTCATAGTTGGACTGAATTGGATACAATTCCTCCTCCAAACCCACACAGCCTCCAGGCATTAGGACAGATCTTGACTGGACTAGGGTTGAAAGATATCTTTGGCTATCACCAATATACTGATGATACCAAAACCAAAGCAGAGGATGATTTTATCCTATGGGTTCATGTAGATATTGAAAAGGAGAGGAGAGACTAGAAACTTGTAGCACTCTACAAATGAGGGACATAGAAAATAAACTATGCTCCCCCAACCAATTGTAACGGGCCCCAGAGAAAAGAAGAGAACCACCGTAAAACAGTACTTCAATTTATCAACCCATGGACTGGCTTAAAGAATACCATGGTTGAGTGTATCTGAAAGCCAATGATCAAAGACATCAAGGATGGATGTACCATCTCCATCCCAACTCTGCCAGAGGTTATCAATAAGAGTGACCAAGTTGTCTTAGTAAAAATTCCAGCCTGAAACCTAACTGAAACTGGTCTAAATAACCCATTTCTTCCAGGGTTCTCCTTACCTACAGACTGGCCACTTTCCAAATAATCTTCCTCTTTCACAAAAAAGTAATTCCCCAACAGTAACTGTTGAAAAGCACTGGGTCCAAGGGCAACGTCTTGAGAAGTGGTGAACCACTACCATTTTCAAGACAAGAGGAACCATCCCCTCCTTTAGAGAAGCTGATACCACAACTGTGAGTCCCCTGGCCACTTCTGCAAACCAAGACAGGTCCAGAAAGAAAAAGCTGACCACAAAGAAAAATCTTCTCCACTTTCTCAGAAAGCACTGGCTCAAACTCATCATATCCAGGTACCTAGCCTGTCCTGGCTAGTCAGAATCCAAATCAAAATAAATCTGAATGACGTTATCCTTCATACAGCTTAAATAATCTTCAGAATGACCCAATAGGGATTAGGTTAGTCTTACCAGAATTGCTGGATGGCTATTGATGGACACAATAAGGACAGAAAAATACTGATATTTGACCATTACTGCCACGAGATAATCCCTAATATGGGCTTTTACCAGTGTCCAGTCATACTTACTCCAATGGTGCTCCAGACATCTTTTCTTGTGCTTCATTTCCCAGCTGACTGGAACTGATGGGAACTGGCATTTGAGCCTTTTAAAGTACGGTGCCATAAAGTTTACACATTTGGAGAAAGTATAATTTTTTCAAGAGCTATTGATATCCATACAAATACTAGTAGTAGCCATAATTGCAGTAGTACTATTAACCATATATATATATTAGTTTGAAGGCATCCTAGCAGAATAAATGTTGAAAACTTGTGCATTTATCCATTAATTACGGCTTAGAAATCACAGTGCTTGGGTTCACATAACATACCAAACCTAAACCAAATTATGGTTTGTACGTGTTTTGTGACATGGGCAAAAGCTTTCAAGCATGATATAGAAGAAAATGGGTCCGATTATTTCATGGAGGATGGAAAATGAAAAAAATCTCACCAAGCAAAAAGAGCAGAAAGTAATAATGGATTGACTGGTCAAATGGGATGGAAGAAGGCATGGCATCTGCACTGTAATTTAGGGAGAAGCAGTTTGTCCTCTAAGCTCTTGAAGAGGGTATGGCCATTCATGTTTCTAGAGGGATGAAAGAGTTGGCCTGTTTGGGGCAAGGCTGAACAGTTTAAATGATAAAATAATTGCACTTATACACATTTGGTATTTTGCATTAAAAAGTTGAGTAACTATGCTGCTAAAATTTGGCAGTTTCTGTACCAAATTTCATTTGTGTAATTTTGAAGAACCTCTGGGGCTAGAAAATTGGGGCTGTGGACCACATATAGCCTATGATACAGAGCTATAAAATGAGAGAAACAATCTGAAGAAATAGATCAGGATGTTTAATATGTAAATCCAGTTAAAACAAGCTGGATTTTGATGTTCAGGTACATCCCAGTAGAAACCCCCCCCCCAAAAGTAACTTTCATGTAAAACCAAATGACAAATTACAATGTTTTCAATTAGATATACTAATATGTATTGATGTACTCAGAGTTTACCAGAATAGACTTCAAAGCTGTTTTATAGATCATATTTTACTTCATGTTCTTTTCAGCAGACAAGCAAAGCATTTTCTCTCACATGATAATCAGCAGAAAGTTCCACATACATCAGAAAACTAAACAGGAAGTTTGCTATTTGAAATATTTCCCCTTCAGACAGGATGAAGAGGGGAGGGGGAAAAGAAGAAAAATGTGAAGCCTACTATGGCAGGCACTCTACAGAACCAACCAGATAACTTGATTACTTTTTAATTATGCTGCCAATAAATCCTGAAGATAATGTAGTTGATGTTTATAATATAATCCTTAAATTATTTTTGTTCCATGAGACAACTTTATCCATATGCAAAACCATATTCTATTATATTGATTCTAGAAAAACCTCTGCCCAAGAAGTACATAAAATTGATGTTTTTAAAATTATCTTATTTTTTAAGACTTACTCAGCCTTTGTTTGCAAAGTAAATCAAATGTGAAGTGATTATATATGATTATATTATATATGATTAAATTGCAAGTTAAAAATACAGTGTTTAAGTTCACACATTAATCCAAAACTTTAAAACATAAATTTTGGGTTACTGTGATGTGTGCATCTAAGCCCTAGAGTTGGACCTAGACTTAATCAAAGTAGACCTATTGAAATGGTATTTTAAGTGTCATTAAACAATAATCACATACGCTTAAGTACAAAGGACCATCTTAAGTGGCATTAATTTAAATGGATGCACTAAGTTCCCTGCCATTTTTTTCTCAATAATCAGTCACCAACCATTACCAAAACAAAATTTGAGCAGGAGGATTTCAAACGGGAATAAGAGTAAATGCTAGAGTACATGTGACTTTAATATTACACAGATGCTGTAGATCAACCACCTCACCTCCTTTGTACTTTTTCTCTGGTTATCCCCTATCAGAGCACAGGACAATATAAAGAGTTTAAAGTTGAAACGATATACTTCTATAGTTAACACATTCGTAATCGTAAACTCAGCGAGCCTGATTTTCTTTTTCACTCCATGAACGCTGAGAAGTTATCTGCTAGGAAATGGCCTTTGGTAGGAAGCCCAGATTTCAGCTTGTTTGCTCCAAACGTTATTTTTTCTTCCTGTTTACACATCAACTAAGACTGTCCACGGCCACTAGAAATCCAAGATGCGCTTCTAAGATATGCATTCCTTTCCAAACGTTGCTGACCTCGACGCCTCAAAGAATCGCAAGCGGCATCTTTTCATTTCACATTAGCAGACCCTGCAGATTTATTACCTTCGCATTCATTATCCCGCTCTCCGCTGTCAAGCTTGGCAAGGGGGAGAAGGGGGGGAGGGAAGACAGGGCAATTCTTTGTACACAGCTAGCTAGGAAAAGGCGGGGGGGGGGGAGAAGGAAATGTAACTCACCGACACCAAAAACTCCAAGGTGTTCACATAGTCGCGCTCCGTCTTCAGCAGCTCATTCAAAACGCACACCCGCAGGCGCAGCTGCTTCTCCGGGTCCTTCCCGCTCTCGCCTTTCCCTTCCCCTTTGCTTTCTTCTGTCATTATTTCTCTCCTCTCCAAAAGAAGCGCCGCTAGAACTTTTCTCTTTCTTCCTAAGGCGGCCGTCGAGGAAAAAGACCCCACTGCCACCCACCCCCTACCCCCTACGAAGTTCGGAAAAGAAAACAATCCAAGCGCCCGCGCGCTTCCTTTACGGAGAGGGCACCTAAGGGACTAAGGCAGGCTCCCGGGCTATGCAGCAACTTTCCTCTTCCCGCCCACCAGTAAGGGCTCTTTTCCAGTAAGGAAGAGGGACCCTGCCTGTAGGAAATGAGCGGCCTCCTCCGCAGAGCAAAGAGGTTTGGAGGATCACAGCAGGAGCAGCCCCTGGACATTAATCAAAAGCGTTGCATCCATGTGACTCCGACCCCTTCCGTTGCTCGCGCCAAATTTCAGGAAAAAGGAAAGGAAGCCGAACCTTGGGAATGGTTGCGTGCCAACGATGGCTTGTTTGACACGCAAGCCTGTGTGCGCTCGAGTTTGTTCTGCACTAATTGGAGATCTCCCAGCTGAAGAGCTGCAACTTTAAAGTGCCCTAAGCAAGGATGAGTTTAAATTCTGAAATCTGGCTCTTAATGTATTATTCTTGGTGTTTAAGTGACCTCTTACCGACAACCGGTCTCAAGTATTATGTAAAAATCATGCAATGATAAATAGAAGGGGAGGGGAATCTGTCACAAAGCCCCATACAGCAATTAGTTTGCATAATTACATAAATAGTATATCATACACACCACTTAGAGTTGGTTACCAAAGTTTATGCTGCTGAGTGTGTTTATAGCAAAAGCCATCCTACCAACCCTCCCAAAAAAGCCAAGAAAGAGACATTTATAATGCTGGTAACTCTATCTGTTGTAGTAATGTCCTATCAAACCATTTATGATCACACTGAGGTTAAATCCATCCTGCAAGCTTTCTAACATTCCAGATTTCTATACCTTTGAGTTTATATCTGCACAGACACTTAAGCAAATGCACCCAAATATACACAGGTTTCCTACTTGTCATTTCTATGCTCCATTAGTGCAAAGAATGGATTATTTGTTTACATGATGCACAAAACATTTCCTGGCAGCTTGGAAAGAGCAAATGATTTCTCAGAGATGAGGTAGCCTCCATTTCAGGGGATGTGTTCACACAAAGGTTAGATAGCCATATGTTATGAAACTAAACTCACCAGGTTTTAGGGTACTTCAAGGTAGTTCTGCAGAATATCATCACCATTACCAAATTCTAAGCTAGGCCTAATAACTATCAGCACTAAGCTGTCCTTAAGTAAGAAAGCAACACCACTAAGAGAAGAAAATATAATACAACCAGTGGCCAAGGCTGTATTCTTGTATCAAAGCTGCTGTTAATAATTTCTCTTAACACTGAAATGCTGCAGAAAGTAAACTCAGTACTACAACCTAGGGAAATAAAAATGGTGTTATGGTTTTCCTCTAATTTTTAGTAGATATGAGAACTTATTTCTACTTTCAGCACAGGAGATGCTGCTGAGACCATTTAGGTACTGAATTATAATTCCCATCATTCCTGACCACTGCTTAAGTTTGCTGGAGTTGTATATTATGGTAATTCAGCAACTTCAGGATGTCTGCAATATTCCAGTCCTGATTTGAGTAGAAATCTATTGGATGTCTTGTGATAAGTAAAAGGAGTAAAAACCAAAAGAGGTGTTACTTGCTTCTAAAGTTGTTTAATACTGGCAGAGTAAAATAAAAGAATGTGTGACTGTGAAGTAATAGCCATAGCACCATAACTGAAGATTTAGTCTTGCTGGGGATTTTGTCACCTATTAAATATAGCGTTAAAAAGCATTAATGCTTATTAATATTATAGGATAAATGTTTGTGGTGTGCTGAGTATGCTACCAGAATATCAGAATCATGTTTTCATTGAGACACTTATAATGAAGTGCATTCCAATGTGCTTACCCTCTCACATGTACTTGGTGAGCCAAAACACTAATGCCTCTCTCAATAGCAAATAAACGAGGGTTCATTCAAAGACAGCTTCTGAGCCACTAGAGAAAAGGCAAAGAACAAGAACAGTCAATCCTCTGTTTTCTTAATTTTAATGTGTATAGTTTAGGAAAAATCACACCACAAATTGTGTCAGGAGCTAGGACATAGAAAAGCAATTATTGCCTGTGAAAAGAAAGTTATATAAGATACAAAGATGATGTGCACATGTATATACATGTGTAGGGAAGAAAATGCATTCAGCAATACTTATCCAAGCTCCTTTAATCATGCTTGTGTAAAAGAAACTTCATTCTTTAGATGGTAAAACTGGGCTCCCAAACCTTTTGGGTCCAGTGAGTACCTTTGGAATTTTGAGAGCACATTATGGGTACTAACAAAATAGTTACCATGGTGAGTGTCGGTGACCACAGAACACCCTCATACCAGAAGACAAAGCATTTGATTGTAGCTACTCACCATTTTTTCCCCATAAGAATACCTACAAAATCTATGTGGGGTCCAGAAGCAGTGCTGGATATAACAATTATGCTTAAGGACAGTACTGAACTGCATGCCATTCATTTTCATTCTTTTTTCAATTAATAGTTTTTAAAAATCTAAGTAGGGCAGGGAGCTTCAGACCTACCAAATAACATGCCAATAAACATTCTATCCACTCGTAGCTCCTATCTGGAATTTCAAACTATAGACTGAAGACATTATAAACTTTTTTTCCTAGTGCAATATGATAACCTTGGCATTTCAGTATTTCACCCAAATTAGTAATTATCACATATATGTTAAGTCCAGATGCTAGCATTTCCTTTGTTTGCAAATATCTTTGCCTTAACTGTATTCAAGGGTGGTTTATAATTTTAGTCTGTATTAACTGGTGATATGGAGACTGATCCTACACTAAAAAAGCTATAATAATTTATATTACATACATTCAATTTTAATTAACTCTAGAACAGCAAATACCCTGAATCTGGCTCTGTATTTGATACTCTGCTTTCTCATTATCTATCAACCTTCCTTCCGAAACTCAAGGCAATATATAGTATATAATACTTTTTCTCCCACTAACATTTGAAATAGGTTAGGCTTTGAGTGACTGACTCAAAACCATCCAGTAATCTTCAAGAGTGAGAGAAGATTTTAAAACAAATCTTCAAAACTCCACACCAATGTTATCTTACTATGATGATGAAAATTCATCTTCCACTTCTTTATTTGGATATGGTTCCAAAAGATAAAATGTTCTTTATTCAAAAGAATTGCATTTGGGGAAGAGACATTAACTAAAGCCTCCATGCTAAGCTACTCTTCCATAAAATGCTTTCTTCAACACAACTGGTCTTCAAAAAAGGCTCCCACATGAAGACTTGCAGTTAGAGAAAAAAAGTTGACATTTTGCACACTTTGACCTTCTCCCTCCAATCATACCAGTTGCACTTAATAAAAAATATTTATCTCACATGGAAGAGGAAGATCATAGGACACAGGACATTATTCCTCTCTTCTGCACAGGTAATCCTTGACTTATGAACCATTCAAAGTTATAATGGGCTGAAAAAAGTAATTTACAAGCGGTCCTTACACTTATGATTGTCACAGTGTGCCCCCGCCCCAGACACTGGCAAGTGGCATGTATTTACATCAGTTGCAGCATTCTGGGGTGACATGTTCATTACTTTCAACCTTCTCAGTGGCTTTGGACAAGCAAAGGCAATGGGAAAGATGAATTCATTTAATGACCGCAACAAAAAAGGTTGTAAAATCAGGCATGACTCACTTAACTGCAGCACGTACCAATGAAAGTTCTGGTCTCAATTGTGGTTGTAAGTCAAGGACTATCTCTACTGCAATTGCCATCAGTTTATCCCTGTCTCAGCAATATATCTAGAAAAACAACAACTCTGCATTAACTGTCATCAGAGACTTCTTCAAGCCAAACTGCTGTAAAGATAAACAAGAAAAGAATGCAACTCTCTGGCTAAAAATCTCCCTCGCTGTTGTTTTAAACCAGCGAGTTACCCTTAAGTAAATTATAATGACTGATTATCATAAAGCACATATGATTCCATCCTTACATCTGAGCTAAGTGGAAGTCAGAAAAGCTCATGCACTTGAGACTTAAAATCTTTTACCTTAAAATTTATTGTAACTGATTTCATAGTATGTCCAGATTATTCAAGGCTTTCAAAAAAGTCAGCTCGGTACTGTATAGTACTTGATATTTTATTATTAATGCCAACTTCTGATTTAACCTCTTTGGTTTCCTACAATTAGTTTAAGTCTACTTAGAGCTTATTACAGTTATATAATTCTTGTAAAATTCACTTTATCACTCCAACATAAGCCTATAATGTCCAAAAACCTATGAGTCTTCCTTAATGAAATGGTTAGCTGTTTCAATTGCTGACATTAAAAACCTGATAACTGGTTTGAAAGCTGTAAAAATTCTAGTAAAAGTAAAAAGATCATATTACAGCCAATAACACTGTATGCCAAGAGTAGGGGATGCATTTCTGGGGGCTGTAGAAGCCCACCAGCTTCCCACATTATGGCTTGGCCTGGCAGCATATATGGCATAACACTATGAAGCCTTGAGGTCTGCTGCCATTCTAGGCCACTAAAAGTCTCTTAGATTTTTGAGTAAGGTCTTGAAGACTCCCCCATGCCCAACCGTCTCAATGTCATGGTAAAGTTGCAGCACTTCCTCCCATGAGGGCATAGGCAAGAAGATCCTGCCCTTATGCCATAGATTTTCCTATTACACCGAAAACAGATACTGTACCTTGTTGTATCCCCTTGACGTCCATCCCAGTCCGCACATACAGATCTTGCTGCTGTTCTTCCAAACAGATGTCTACCCTGTTTTCCCAGAAGTAAGGCCTACCCCCAAAAGAAGCCCTAGATCAGCGGTTCTGAACCTATGGGTCGCAACCCCATTTGGGGTCGAACGACCATTTCACGGGATCGCCAAACGCAGTCTGCCATTTTTCCCCCTTTTCCTTAGCTGTGCTACTCCCTTTTATTCTATTGGCTTTTGGAAGCCAATAGAATACTCTCTTGAATAGAGTCTAATTCTATTGGCTTTCAAAAGCCAGTAGGAATTGTCCAGGCTGTCTCTGCCCTGCTGAGCCTGCCAAAAGTCCCAGTCTGCAAACGGTGCTGCAAGTTGTCTGCAGCGAAGGCGAGCTGTCTGGAAGCTTCCACCCCTCCCTGCTGAGCAACTACTAAAAATGTAAGAGGGCCAGGGGTGGTAGGTGGGAGGCCGGCGGGCGCAGGGAGGGTTGCTGGCGCGCATGGGGCCCGGCGGGTGTCTTACCTCCCTTGGGCTGGGCCAGCTGGTGGCCCAGCCAGTGGTCACCCTGCGCCATCAC